TGCTGGCTCACCTGAATGATGTTCCTCTCCGGCGTCTCGGCTTCCACATCACAGCTCATGCCTAGACTCCGGGTAGGTATCTTGACCTCTTTGGAGGCTCCTTTGTGGCCCATGGAAGCTCCAGTCGCATCGCTGCTGTCGCCAGCACCGGTCGCGCCTCCGGCTCGTCGTAGTTGCCTCCGGAGACTGGGTAGATGTCGCACCGCATGACAGACATCGCCTACTTTGACGCCGTACGGCAGGCGGAGCAGGTCAAACCGGAGTCGAAGGAGAGCACAACTGTTCGTCAGTCTGGCCGCATTCGGTCGGCAACCAGGACCCGCCGGTGGTACCACGAGCGGAGCCTCGAGATGGCGCATCCCAGGCGGGAGGAGATCGAGCAGATGCCCAGCGCCTCGACCTCTAGAACGGCCGCCTTCTGATCCGGAGGACAGGTTCTGGCCGAGGGTAGCAGACGAGGCTGAAGTGGAAGTCACGAGGTGAGGCGATGACACGGAAAATGGTACTGCCGGCTCGGAATACAGGCCAGCCTGTAGAAGAGTGCTGTTGATGCACACGGCCCTTGGAAAGCACGGAGACACGAAACAATGAGCAGACGCATCGTCGCCCAGTCCCGGTCGGTCGCTCAGTGTGTAACATTGTTCGCCGGGTCGGCAGGCAAAGGGATCCGTCGGTCGTCGGATCGTCAGACAGGACCAGTAGCCACAGAATGTCTAACCGACAGGCGTAGAGACCGAATATGCCAATGTGTGTGTGAAAATGTGAATTTGTTTGTATGCATATTTATGTCACATGGAAAGAAGTGCAGCCAAATAAATATAAGGTACAGAATAAAAATATACATTGAATTCATCGGAAAATATTTGAGATAAAATTAATATTTCGTATTTAAATAGATTTTCGAGACTACGTGTAAATCAAATATAAGAGATGTTTTTATCCTATTTAGCTTGAAGTGCACAATGATATAATTATACCTTACGTTTCAAATGAATTTCATATAGCTCTGCTTCTCAATAGGTATTCTCACCCAGTATGGACTGCTGATTCGATCTCCTCTGAACTGGTCTCATTAGGGTTCCGAGCGGGACTCGAACTATGACACTTAGGCGCATAATTTTGACAGATTAACCACTACGCCACATTGCCACGAGTGCCTTTGGGCCGCAGGGCAGATGTG